TGTGCCTGAGCCCAGCCCACCAGGTGAGCACCTTCCTTACTACACAACATTGGTCTCATGGATCACGGTGAGTCATCACAATGGTGAAAGGACCTGCCCAGTGAGAGGCTGCTGAGGGTCAGAGGAAAGGGCAATGTAAAAATAAGAAGCAGCATTGGGTTTCAGGATGGGGGCCTGAGCTAGACCTCCTCAACACTGAGCTCTAGGAGAGGAGCTGTAAGCTAGGCCTCCTGCAACACTGGGCTCCAGGACCGGAGCTGTAAGCTAGACCTTCCACAAGCCCAGGCTCCAGGACCGGGGCCCTGAGCTAGACCTCCCACATAGAGTAGCATCTCTTAACAAACTGCTTTCAGGATTCAGAAAAGACAAAGGACAATAACCGTGTCTCCCTAACCTAGACATGGCCAGTGCTTAAATGTCATAGTGGTTTACTAGTCGTATCAGGAAATAAAACATCAAGGTTCCATACGAAGTCCCGAAGGTTCCTCAAATTCCTTTTCTGTTTCCTCCTCAGATACATACACTTGAATTTGGTGTGTATCTTTACAGTTCATTTTTGTTTGTATTTTTACATATATGAATTATATAATCTTTATATATGTTGTTTTGTGTTTTTCTTTCACATAAATTATATTAGTCTTCATATATCATTTTATACCCTTTTTTCTTTACTCTGTGTTATTTTTATTTTTTTTATTGATCCATTTTGACAAACATACACATTGAACTCTTTTTAACTTTTGTAAAGTATTACATTTTTCAATAAACCATTTAATTCACCCATATCCCCACTGACAGAATATATTTTTCTACATCTGCATGTCTACCGTGTTGAGGTCAAGTCCTAAGGCATCGATGCATAAGAAGACCCCATTCTATCATCTCATCTTCTTTGCTTAGTAACAGATAAAGAGCACCTCACACTGTACTGTAATATTATTAAGCAATTTTTTCCTGAAGCAACTTTTTTCCTGGGAGTGGTTTTATACATGTGAAAAAATGGAAAGATTCATCTTAATTTGTAAGCCTGGCAAATAAGTTGAGGTCAATAGGTGACTTTCAAAAATGCCTTACTTTCATTTCTACAAAAGCCTGGCCTGCCATGATGCTGGTCAGCAGCAACAGAAGATGCTCTCAGCAGGTGGAAGTTTCTACCAGGGCACCTGGGGGTCAGTGTGTGGTGACAGCTGGGTCTAAAGGAAGCATGCGTCATATGCAGGCAGCTTGGGTGTAGACAGGCGGTGTCTGCCCCAAGCAGAGCCCACTTTGGCCTTAGCTTTGGGAAGATTCTCCTGGACAACATGCAGTGCAGTGGTGAGGAGAGCCACCTGGCCCAATGTGCCCACGACCCCTGCCTGGTTCACTCACAACTGTGGCCATGAGAGGGATGCTGGAAACATCTGCTCGGGTTAGGCTCTTTGCATCCTAAGGACTCGTGGACAGAACGGGTCATTACGAAAGTGGGCAACAAGCAAGTGACCTCCTCCTGTGATGGCTGATTTTCTTTCTTCACATTCACAGGTTCTACCATGGCAGGCCCCTCACTTCCAGGTAAGACAGATTTGGGCTATATCTCTGTTCCATTCTACCTCTCCCTGAACAGAGCCAGTTGCTGTGGAGTCAACGTCAACCCGTGTCAACCCTGTGTGTGTCAGTGAGGAACTGTGTTCTGTAGAGTTCTCAGTGGCTCATTTTATGGAAGTAGATCCCAGGCCTCTCTTCTGAGGCACATCTGGGTGGGCTCAAACCTCCAGCCTTTCAGTCAGCAGCCAAGCACGTTAACCAGCTGCGTCACCCTGGAGCTCCCTGCTCCATCTAGCTAATACCTAGTCATTGTGAGAGCAAGGGGAAGAAATGGCCCCGTTAAGTTGAGCTTTATACAGTTCACTGAGCTTGTTTGAATGGTCCATAACTGCTTGAAGTCTAAAAGGTTTTCCCAGTCTATATTGCAACCCACCACAACAGATGGAACTCATACCACAGGTCTGTGATGCTGTGGCTTGCTCTGTGGTCTCTTCCTCTCCTTCTCCAGGAAACATGCTAATAATCCTAACTGAATGACCCCTCTTTAGGGTAGCTTCCCAAGGGTAGATCCCAGGAATCTTTTGGGGGTGCATTTCACAGAGAGCTCAACCTAGAAGAGCAATGAGAGCAAAGGGGCAATTTAGGAATTAGCACACATTATCCTATCATCTGAGTGGGGCAACCAGTTTGCACTCGACTGGTAACTGAAAGGTTGGCAGTTCAAACCCCCCACCAGCACCACCAAAGGAAATCCTGTTGATCTGCCTCCATAAAAATCACAGCCCAGAAAACCCTATGGGTTCTATATATATATATATATATATATATATATATATATTCTATAACATATAGGGCTGCCATGACTCAGAAGTGACTCAGTGACATAAGGAAACAACAACATCCTATCATCTGGGTTCAGGAACCCTCCCAAATCAGAATAAATTTCCAAGGCAGCTTCAGGCAAGACTGGATTCTCTAAGGCCATTCAAGGGCCACAAGTCATAGTTGTTTATGTCAGAGTACAATCTTCTATGACTGTGCATATCAGTGATCCCAAATTACTTATTTGAGTGAAAAATGCCATTCACTTTCCAGTCTGATTAGATCAGAAATCATCCCTCTAGAGTCTGTAAGGCCTCACCCTTCCTACCAGGCCAAAGAATGTTTTCAATTGAAAATCTTATACTTGCACTATTATTTCAGAGTACCTCTGCCATTAGGAGAAAACATGGGTCATTTCCATTCTTTCTTTTTTATCCTAAAACTTCTCAAAACATTAATGTACATCAGAATCACCTGGAGGGCTTGTTAAATCACAGATTACAGGTCCTTTGCTAAATTTTCTGATAGAATAGGCCTAATGTGGGGTGTGAGAATTTGGGTTTATA